TTGTCACCCATCCCCTCCAGTAATCAAATATGGTTTGCTGGAGAATCCAACATGTATTGATGTGTTTGTTTTCGAACTATAAACATCCATTTCATCATTTAGTTTCGGGATTTCCCGGAATGCTTGACACTGGAGGGTATTATTATGTATTATCCCATTATTATCCCACATCATCCGTATTGCACCATATCAAACACCATTCAATCCCACTAAATCCAGAAAAAAACACAGCATGAAAGCCAACTAAACAATATTAAACAAACCATTAAAATATCCATATAAAACACCATATAAGACACCATGTAAAGCACCGTTATCCCAGTGGAATTCCATTCTCAGCCACCCCCGTGCTCAGATGGAGTTGCCCCAACGGCTTCAAGTGCAATGACATGGCAGGCTGACAGCTTTTCACAGGTGCACGGAGCGGCGGGCAGTGCTCGGAGATTTCGGTTTTATTTTTTTCTTATGTCATTTGGAGGTTCCATTTGTTATGGGATTTAATGGAGAAAATCATGATTAATACTGGTAAAAAATGGTGATGAATGATGATATGGGGGGTTCTTCAATCATGGGGGATCCTCAGTCGTCACCACGGTTGCTTCAATACTAAGTCAGAGTCATGGTCATCCATAACTTGGACCGGATGATGACTGGGGGTAACCCCATGACCTGGGAAAACTCGTTTTTTTTTGCGCAGCACCATTCAGGGGGTGAAGCAGCAAAATCGCGGAAGATGAAGTGAAATACATTGGTTTCAATCACCCAAAATAGTGGAAAATCAACTAAAATAATCTAAAATGCGGTCATAGTGGAATATGTTGGTTTCAAACACCCGAAAATAGTATAGGGAATATTTGCTGGGATACTGTATCAACTGTGTCTCATTTCCCCATCCATAGTGAAGATTGACAGAACATAACAATGATGAGGGAAGCCCACCACCTGGGGATCATGCACAAAGAACCATCAGATTATTCCAGCGTTATTCACAGATGGGTCCAACAAAAGTTTTTGGTGTTTAATACTGGCGGAAATTAAGATGTCCATGTTAATTGGTGATCGAACATATCAATTTCCACCATATTAATTGAACATGTTCAATCACCATATTAATATGTTCAAATGATGCTGACATGTTTCCGCGAACGAACGGTGAAATTTAGCTGAAAAAACCTGGGATTTGAACTTGAGGCACCGACACCCAGCACAGCGCCTACCGGGCCTAACCAGCGGGGAAACCCGCTGCGGAGCGCGAGTGTGTCCGATGGGGAGTCAGTGGTTTTATGATAGCCTCAGGGAAACTATTCCCAAATTTTGCGGACCTTTTGAAGTTTTATTTTGCAATCTAATGTGGGAAACCCAACAAAAAATCTGACATTTGGGCGTGATTTATAGCAACCATTTACGGTGATTTTGGGGAGGGTTTACCACATTATCCAGATTTATGTGGAATTGGCCAATATGGGGATAGGTTTTAAGTATTACCAAATCAATCTTTTAAGTCATAGATGATGTGGAACTAGAAGTATGTATGTGGAGGTTGTCTGTCAATTTAGGGGGAATCCCCATTCTATCCACTGGTTTATCATTATTTACCCTATCAAAATGGCTGTAAATGGTCCCATTTTCAGACGCAACAATGTTGGGTTTACCAATATGGAGACGGATTAAAGCTAAAACCTATGATGCCACAAAACGGGTGGTGGGGGGATGCAGCGGGATATCACGGTTTTGACCCATAGCCATATGAAAAAGTGAATCTTACCCTACTCAAAGGGTAGCAACCCAGTTGCCCTTAAAGATCAATGGGTGGCAAATGCGGATTTCACCACAATAAATGTGCATCTTACCAGCACAAATGCGAGGTTTACCAATCACAATCAAGCTTTGATCAGCACAGACATTTTTTTCAAGACTTGGCCAAGACAAATCGTAATCAAACTAGCAACATCTAAGAACTGTTATGATGATTACGACTTAAATTGATTCAACCACTCAACCACCATCAAATATCAACAAACAATAGTAACGGGCGGTTTGTGGGTGAACCTTCGCCATTGTCAGATTTTGCCCATGGAGATCAACAACAACTTAAGTGTGTAACTTGCGATTATAAGCTCCGCACTTTAGCGCACAAAGATATTTAATAGTGTGCAGAATACATATACAGTAATTATAATATATATATATAGTAATTATAATATATATATATATTATATATATAAATATTATATTATATTATATTATATTATTATATTATTGTATGCATGATAAATGTGCATATACACATCTATGATGGTATCTATATACTGTATATATGTATGTGTGTATATATGTGTAAATCTTTGACCTGGTTTTGTGGGGAAATAATCAATTTTCCCGGGGACGTCCGACGTCAGCCAACTAAACGACGCATCCATGTCGACCGGGAAAAGTCCTGAACTTTTGGGGATGTGTTGGGATACGCAAGTTGGGGACACCTATAGACGATCCTAGACGTATACATATATATATAACATTATATATATAACATTATATATATAATTATATATATAATATTATATTATATATATAATAAAATGTATTTATATATTATTATATATATATATAATATTGTATATATATATATTATAATATATATATATATAATATATATAATGTAGGCTGCCTAATAGTAAATCCCCCCCTAAATAAAAGATTTTTTAAAAAATAAGGGGGGTCAGCATTCCAATAGTAACTTTTTGGAACCTTATAGCGGAAGTGGACATGGAAGTGGGGGCAGAGGTGGTGGAGGCGAAGGAGGAGGACGAGGAGGAGGAGAAGAAGGAGAAGAAGGAGAAGGAGAAGGAGAAGGAGGACAACAAAATTGGAGTTGCGGAAAAAAGTTTCCACTATTGCCATGCCTGGTGCAGGTTTGTTATTGCTATTCTGGGGCTTGCAAGGGGGGTACCCTTTGTGGACCTGTTTTCTTGCTTTTTTAATAAGGGTTTTATAAGGAAATCAGCTGTTTGGTAATTGGATCAGATTTCTGGAATCCAAACTTTTGCTAATCAAAAGTGAAGGCTGCTTTGAAAAGGATTTGCTTTACTTGACTCTTTTGGCAATACTAAAAGTAAATGGAGCTAATTGACTTTTAGTCTTGGAGAAAAATTGGAGTTGCGGAAAAATGTTTCTACTATTGACAAGATATCACCATTGGCTAGACAACATTATATAATATATAATATATAATATATATACATATATATATTTATATTCATATAGTTTTATACGTAGTATATATTACAGTATAGTAACCAAGTTGTTGTATATATATATGTATTGGTTCATATGAGTATCTGAGTAACCGACAAAAAATATTGTAATACTAATTTAGTCTTGCTTCGCCTAGGCCTTTATGAGGTTGCACAAAACCTGCATAACCGATAGGGGACGACCCTCTACCGATATCCCGTTTGTGATACCTCAGGGAGTACTGAAATCCTCACAACCGATAGGGGACGACCCTCATGTGTGCATGGCATGAAATTTCACAAATATTATAATTTTGTCCGCTACTCGTATATCCATATGTACACTCACATAATATACATACTAACACAGTACACGTTTAATATATCTACCGTAGATATGGATGGATGAGTTTGGTGACCTCAAGCAACCGCCCAATTTCATGATGTTGGATGTTGCAGTTTGATGACGTAAAAAAACCTTAGAGATCTTAGAGTGTCAGATACATGGATATGTTATACAATGTTGTATATATATATATACTATTCATTAGTATAAGTTATGTACATCCTAGTCCCAACCAGATTTTTGTGGCTGCTGGTTTCCATGCTTGGTTCAAACGGCCAAGAAGAGATGTGACACTGAAGTCCAATCATCATTTGGTGCCAGGTGGTGGTTTGTTTGCTATGGGCAATTGGCTACCAAAATTGGTATATTATATATATATATATATATTTTTTTTAATATATATATATATATACATATGTAGGTAGTTATTATCTTCTCATATTAGACGACATGTTCTTCATAAAATATTCTCGAACATGTTTCAAGACTGAAGAACACCAGATATGTCAAGATATGCGGAAATCTCGACTGAACCCCATTTGAATATCTGTTTGCCATCCGTCGTTTGATCATCTTCCTGACGAGTCTCGAGGTTCATGGTGTCGCCAGTGCCTGCGGGGGCAGACAGTGCACAGTTGGCCCTTCACATGTCGAGACAAGTGCCTGGACATCATCGGCTGCTGTCCGAGAGGTACTGTTTATAATTTAAGGCTTTGGGGTGCGATAATCAACATCAGACATCTTAGGTACGAGTTTCTTTAATCATAATATGTTCTGCTTGCATTATTTACATTCCATTTTGCTGCTTGAAATGGCACTGTTTGCTGCTCAGATTGCGTTTCTTTCTTGGTTAAAGGGTGACATGTCAATTTTGACCGGTCAGCCGTTACCGTTCGCCCAGGCCAAGCAATTGCCAGTGGCGGACTCTCAGGTGCCAACCTGAAATCAATGGTAGGCCATAGGCCTTAAAAAATGGTAGGTACCTCCAGTATATAAATCCTTTCCTGAAATGGCAATTGATAGAAAGAAGGATGATTACCTGATAATATATGATAATGGTTTGCAGAATACCATAGTGATTATACATGATTATACCTGATCATGATTTAAGAAACCAAACCAAACCAGGCAATTCCAGGATTTAAATCTTGATGTTGAAATTCTCCAGGTTGGTGAAAGACATGTTTTTTCTGGCCGAAATATACGGCCGTCATTTTTTTTGTTGTTGGCCAAACATACCGTCCGAACAATATTGCTATGGAAGCTATGCTCCATATTTGGTTCGACGACAAAGCGGTTTTGTCTATACAAACAATCGATAGATTTACCACAGCCAAAACGCGGGGTTTCTATACCACGATGCCAGGTCTACAATGCCATGAGCTCCGATCTCCCGGTTGGTGCCGTCACTGGCTCGGCAGGCGATGATTTCAGGGGGATGGGGTGGGATGCATAAGCAGCTCAATATGAGTTGGGCGTGTCTGAAAATGCCACCCCGCAAAAAAAATGGCAGCTTAGATTGGATGTTTTAATCTGGAACGTGATGATAAACCAATGGATAGAATCGGGTACCCAATTTTCAGACAAAGCCTGAAATGTGTGTAGGTGTATCAACCCAACTACAACTATATAGATCTAAATTGTTCAAAATGAAAACCCAAGTTGCAACCAACCAATTGGTCATCTTTTTATTGTTGTCATGCTACCTGACATGGTCCATGAAGATGATTTTTGGAAATCTTCGATGAACACAACTCCGCTGCATTCGTGTATTATTATTCATATAATATGGATCCAAACACTGTCTGAGAAGGTACTTAACCCCAAACACTTCCTAAGAAGGTACTTGGATCCATAGGGAAATAATATGTTGATTTGAACAGAACATTTTAAAACGATAGGGCCCACCCAAAAGCGATACCTTAATATTTTTGCACAAGGCGTAGCCACCCGATTTTAACGGCGGCTCATTGATGCCTGTTTAGTTCGGGGATTTCCTAGCCAGCCATGTTTGATTGCCGGAGGGTAATTTATTGGTGATTTTCCAGGATGTTCAGCATTGGAGACAACAACATGGAGTGCCTTTTGCCAAAAACCAGTGTGTTTCTCCTTGTTTTTGAACGATTGAGTTTGGAACATGAGGCAAACATGATGCATCAAGCATGCCCACCTTATCCCGAAAGGACAGCGGAACTGACAAGGGCACAGGGTTGACCCGTAGATCGTTTGTTAGAAGAGCGTCATGGGTTGCCATTCGTTTTTGGTGACTTTTTGATATTTGTTTGACAACTTATTATTGCGGTAGACATCAGGTTTTAACTAGCAACCATGTGGATATTCATCGACCGGCAATCGGGACAGAGGCTAATTCACCCAGACGGGTGATTTTTCTACCAAATTGAGAAAACAACCAAGTGAACATGTTCTGACCAAACTGGGGCAACACAACATCAGATAACAAGAGACTGTGGATCTGCTCGCTGTTCAGCTCAGGGGTTATGGAATGTTATGCGTTGACATCCGTTGATCAACAATCCCCTGCCAAGATCAATTTTCTTCGGAACCTGGTTTCGTACTGGATCATACTATATATATAATAGTAATTATATTATATGTCATATTATATTATATATATATCATATTCTATATCTATCATATTATATATCATATCATTTATATATATATATATATATATATCGTATATATTAAAATATTATATAATTATATATATATACATACTGGGTGCACTATAGCAAGGCTACCTCTGGCTACGTGCATGTATGTTGCCTTTGTCCCCACGCGTCTCCCGAGCGGATCTGTTATCCGCATTCTCGAATATATAATAACCATTTTCGTCATCAGACCATCATCATCATCATCATCACCATCATCATCATCATCATCCGTATCCATCACCATCATGCTGTCGTTGCATGTCATTGTCGCCGGTGTCGGTCTAAAATATCAATATCCAGGCTCCCCAGGGCCAGGAACTGTTCAGCTTCATCACTGCGGGTTGCATTTGAGGATGCCGAGAATTCAGTGCTCGGTGAGTGACTTCACCTTTGTCCTGTGCCAGTACTCTAGCTGCAGCTTTGTCCCAAATTTAAGAAGAAGGAACGAGGAAAGTGACACTGATGGGAAGATGGTGGCTGGCATTGCGTAGATTACGCAATACCATCCATCACCTTTGGCTTCAGAAAGAACCATGGGAAAGAGGTGACTCGCAGTGAAAGGGCTCCTACGCGAGGACCCACTTTCAATGCCAGTCACCAGGTGTTCCAGGAATGAGTTTTTTAGCAACTGGAAGTTTAAAACGTTGAAGGATCTTCCGTCGGAGATGCAAGACCTTTGAAGGCTTCAGTTCCACTGGGAGTGTCCTCGGAATCAGCGCTCAAAGCAATTTCTGGTGGGTGCCACTGTACCAAGATCACTGCTGGCTGGTAGGTCCTTCCATCCAGCAATGATGTTGGTCCTGTCTTTCTTCAAAGGAGGCCTGAGGGATTCATGGCTCTGGATCTGCCAGACAGAGGGTCTGTCTGTCAGATCCCGGATCGTGATTGCAGAAGTTTTCTCCATGTGTCTGAATGTGGCATTAAAAGCCATGCCAATGATTGGCATGGCTTTAAATTGCGGCGGAGTTGTGGCAAAGGATTTGAACAGCAAAGGCGAAGGATGTTGATGGTTTTGCAAAATGTGATGGCCAGCTTGTGACTTCACAGCTCCTGGCGTCGCCTGGCGGCACCTTTGCTTCAAGGTTTGAAACAAAGCTGCCGCCAGGCCCCAAGTGGGGAGGCCCCCCTGGTAACATCCGTGACAGGTTTTCGTCTAAGGGGAGCAGGGTCAACCCCCAGAGATACGAAAGAGGAAGAGGAGCAAGAGAACAGATGGAGGAGCAAGCAGAATTCTTAAGAAGAGTGATTGCAGGAGCATACAGTGTGAATGCAGTGTACTTCTTCAGGAACGCGAATTATGCAAACACAGTGTTCCTCGACCCACTGGACATCACTCGCGCTTGCCGCCCCGACTATCGAAGGATCGCAGTGCTGCACCTCATCTTGCAGAACGGGATTATCCTCCCAGACCCTTTGATGACCAAATTGATCAAAGCCATTGACGATTGCAACAAATCCAAACAACGCGATGTGCAAAGACCTCAATGCGGAACTCATTTGAGTGAGTATTAGCGATTGCAGATACCCCCATTCCTGAACACATGAGGGAATCATCCGCGGCGAGACCAAGGGCATCAGCACCAGCACCTTCGAAAGCCGCTTTAGTTGCAGCACCCGCGCGATCTACTGCCCCTTCATCTTCGAGGACAACCACAACCACAACATCTTCGGCTACAGTACCTCCACCAACTGCAGCTGCGAAAGCCGGACCAAGACAACCACCTGCTCCACCACCGTCGAGAGGAACAGGGCGTGGGAACAATGGTGCTTACCGAGGATCCCACCGAGGCGAAGATTGGAACTACACCAGACATCGTCACTACCAATAAGTGTATAGACCTCTGCATAGGTCTGGAGTGCTCGTGGCGAATGCGCAATGCAATCAAAGCTCATTGAATCCTATGACATTGGTTACGATGTCTTTTGAGAGGAATCTGAGCCGGCATTTTCTTTTGGACACACTGATGTCTACGTGATGTATGCAAGATTGAAAGTGTTGATCCTCTCTAGCGGTCTCACACATTCTTCAGTGTAAGGCGGGAGCGTAAGATCTCTAGCCAATCATTTGTTTTGAACGAAATGCAACGGTGACATTGAATCACCCTCCGGGTATTTAACTGAACCTGCGGGATGCATGCGGTAGGCGGTAGTGTGTATATCCTTCCTGGAATGTGCAATTTTCCAAATGCTGATAGCGCTTAGATAGAGAGTGTAGTCGAAGAGTAGAGCAAGCCGCTGGGAGCGTCGACCGTTCAATAATTAATAAATGTAAATCCTGCAGTTCGGTCTGTTGGTGCCGAACCGGATACCATGCGTGGGGGGTGCGCGTGGATATACGGTGAGAATGCACCTAACACATCCGTGTATAGGGTAGCCCAAAGTTCCAGCCAATGGGGGGTCGAAACAGTATTTGCCGACATCTCCTATGTGGCTCAAGACCCCCCAACTGCAGGTCCCGTGAAAAGAACTTGTGCGATGAGTCGTTGCTGAGCGTCTAGTCTGTGGGAAGTCAATCAACCTAAGGAACGTAGCTGGTAACCGTCAGGAATTACCGGTTCGTAATATATGTATATATATTTGGAAATCTTTAAACCTATATATCTATATATCTATATCTATATATCTAAATATCTATATATCTATATCTATATATATCTATATATCTCTATCTCTAAATATACATATATATATATATAGATATATCTATATATCTATATATCTAGATATATATCTATATATCTATATATCTATATATCTATATATCTATATATCTATATATCTATATATCTATTTCTTTATAAATATATTTATATTTATTTATTTATTTTTATTTATATATCTATATAAATCTATTTATGTATATATATGTAGATATATATCTATATATATGTCTCTTTATATCACATATATATATATATATATATGTATATATATATATATCTATATGTGTTTATCTATTTTTATATGTATATATATATATATATCTATCTCTCTGTAAATCTATATAATATATATCTATGTCTATATATATATATATTATCTATATATCTGTATATCTGTATAGTTTCCTATCTATCTATCTATCTACCTATCTATCTATCTATCTATCTATTTACCTATCTATCTATCTATCTACCTATCTATCTATCTTTATAAATATGTTTGTACGTATAATATATATATATATATATTATATCTCTATCTATCTATCTATCTATCTATCTATCTATCTATCTATCTATCTATCTATCTATCTACTATCTATCGATCTATCTATCTATCTATCTATCTATCTATCTATCTATCTATATATCTTCATAACTATCTATCTATCTATCTATCTATCCTATCTATCTATCTATCTATCTATCTTCTATCTATCTATCTATCTATTCTATCTATCTATCTATCTATCTATCTATCTATCTATCTATCTATCTATCTATCTATCTATCTATCTATCTATCTATCTACTATCTATCGATCTATCTATCTATCTATCTATCTATCTATCTATCTTTATATATGCATATATAGATACATATCTGTACATATATATTTAAATATCTGTACATATATATATATGTATAAATGTATCTATATTGTAGCTGCCTCCTTTTTAGAATGACGTCGCGACCATTGCCACAAGCTTGAGCTGTCGTGAGCCTCTGCCAGTGACATTCCACAAAACTTCGGTTTTTGCCTTCTCAATATTGAGCTGCATGCCACGCTCTTGGGCGTCGTGG